AAGCACCAGGCAGTCTTGCTACGTGCCATCTCACTGATTCCAATGAAACTTTGCTAGTTTCAAGGGTCTACCCCAAAACTCAAATTTCTGTTTTGTTTTTTTCCGGGGGTGAAATGGACCACCCTCCCCCTCCCTGCATTTATCTCCCACGAAACGCGTGGGAGATAAATAAAAGTTTTTACCTTCTCAGTTTGTTCCGTCAAAAACGCTTTTAATTTGAAGTCACGTCGACCTCGACAGAAAAGTTAGGCTCACCCTGTCAGAATCAACAGTTTGATAACGTAAATATCTAATAAAGTACGTCATTGTGCTTTTATCACAGTAATGAAAAAATTTGCATTTGCTAACGCTCGCCACATTTATTCTTTGGAAAGTTATTTTACGGGAGGGCAATGTCACTTAGCTTGGCCTTTCTTGACTCTGACTGACGAAAATTGCCGACGATGCGGCGAGGTGAGCCCCATGAAATTATTGTCAAATGTTTTAAAAACTTTTTCTACCACAACAGAAACAAAAGCTGGTCGCTTACAAAATTTCAAAATGACTTCTAAATTTTGCTAAATCTTAATTTTCTCGTACAGGGCCAACGCACCTTGAATGGGTCTTTTATTTGATGTTTTACTTCTATGTAAAGATTAGTCTCTATACCACCCAAATGACTCAACATCGCGAGGTCGGTTAATCAGGACTCTGAGAACTGTCTTCCGTATTGTCCGTACACGATACGAAGGGGTCGGTGGTTTGAAACATAGCTCACGGAAAATTTCCAAACAAACGCAGCAAGAATTCATCTCTTTAATTTCCTTTTTGAAGCAGAGCGAAGTGGAGGAGGGAGAGGGGTGGGACGTGTAGGTTGGGGTAAGAATGAGAATTCCTCATGCGGACATGCGTGGACCGCATACAGACACTCCTACCACTTGCATCATTTATCCCACCACCTTGCCGCCTTAACAATGAACAACAGTGCTATCTGTTTTACTCTGTAACCTGGTTAAAACAAACGCTCACAATATTTTCTAAGATTTCTCTCAAGCTGTCTTTTATTTTAGCGTCTTTGAAATTACTACATAATCCCTTAAGAAACTTTGCCAAAAATTGTATAAAGTGTGCTAAGAAACAAGAATATTTTGATTCCCTAAACAACATTTTGACAATGACCTGACTAAAAAACAATTAAATCACTATGCAAACATACATTATCTCAAACATTTCAATGCCTAAGTGACTTGTTGAACCAGTTTCAAAATATTGCTGCCGTCATTTTTCCACTTGATACTGATTAAGTTCTTGACCTTGAAAGCTTTTTCCATGGTTCTATTTGGAAATCCATGAATTTTTTTCCAACCTTTTAAGCACTCAGAAGTATTACTGGAACTGACAAAAAGAAAAGCTTTTCCTAAAGATTTTACATAAAAAATTTAGGATTCTGTTAACGAAACCTATAACAAAAGGCTTTGTGAGAAAACCCTGTAAGATTTAACTGGCTCGTTTTTGATGCTTAAACTACTGTTTTAACTTTCCTGATTTCACTTAACTTAAGAGCCCTAAGTCAATAATGTTTCATGCTAATTATATCGGCCGGATAAGATAATTTTTGTGCAGAAAAAATATTCTCGGATACGTAACCAATACCTCCTTCTGAGAAGATCGGAAAACAGAATGTAAAAAATTGAAATTAATATCCATAATTTGAGGTTGCCCTTTCCTTAATTACACAATGAAATAACGGATAGAGTATTTTCTCTACTTATTCTATTTGGTTATCCATCTAAAAGTCTTTAAGGTCTGTTTCCTTCGTGCTATTCTCATCTTCTTTCCTGCAACAAACGTAAAAAAAAAAATTATAAATAACTTAATAAACATTTCTTAAATAAAGGAAATACAGTTCTACCAGGCGTAATACGTAGGCAAATGTACACTTGCATCTGATT